TGTCATTATTGAGCAGCTTGCTGCCGTTCATTTGGCTGCATGTCACGTATTCTCTGCAACGACGTGACTGCTTTCCAGCCGTCTGCACTGATCTGATTATGCTCGAAATTTCTCTGCTATTTGCGACAAATTCCGGAACAGGAGCGCTCGGGTTTGAACATTCAGGGTGATAAATTATTCTTTGTTTGCCTATGCTTAGAGCGGGCGTTTGAACAGGTAAGGGTGCCCGTCAAGGATATCGATACTTTGTTTATACCGCACCTTTAGGGTGAGGTGTCGGTCTCCTAGTATAGCCTAAGTATGTAGACAAAAGCGACTACTCCTATTGGCACAATGCGTCTTTGAAACATAAACATCCAGCAATGATGCAATTGCATTGTAACACGACCTCGTGGGACGATTCCCTTGCCTTCAGCTATGAAGCATGAATTTTTTATGTTGATTTTATGTATGTCCTTCGGTATCAACTGCAATTGCGTTTGACGCTAAATTCTTTCATGAGGCTTAATTAGTGCTGCGCATTCCATTTAATTTAATTGATATTAATCGCCGAAATACCACGTGATAGAAATGGGTCAACGATATCTTCCTACGGCTTTTTATTCTATGAATATTACCCAGCGATTGTTCTCATGAGTTACCAGCGGCTGGAATACCTCCAAGTTTGTTAAGCCTCCCTATTTGTATCCCTCACACGGTGCTATATATATCCTGCCAAAGTTGCCGAGCTCATAACTTCGGCAGGATCGTAACTAAGAGCGCGCCTAACTTCCCATCGGAATTCTTATCGCGCCTTGCACAGGCGCCTGTTATGCTCACACGCCTGAAGTACGCAACTGTTCCCGTTGTTTACCACTAATTACTATATCTTCTCAGATATTTTTGCCTCTAAGGCAAGACTTTAAAATTTCACTGCTAATGGAATGCTGGTAAAAAAATTGGTTTTAGAGAGTTGCTCCGCTATTTTTTAATGAAGATTTATATCAAGCGCGTGATACGATGAGCTTGACGTTTCTGCGTGTCGGTAGAGAAGTAAAAAATGAATAATTTATTTTTTAATTTAAAGTCAAACTCTCGCGCAATAAAGTTTTTTCTTCCTTCAGTTTGCAGAAGTAAGGATGAACAAATTGACAACTTCTCAAAATTTTCCATGAAACTTCAGTTCCTCATTTAACCCTTTGACCTTTGTCTAAGGATGCATTTACCGCTAATGTAATTCAAATTCAAAAGCCTTGTAACAATAATTGCCTCCAGTTTACAAACTGTTACGTTATTTCATGATCTTCTCGAATAGCATGCATGGTTGCGCGTTTCTGTGTGAGACCGATGGAACGATATTTCATGAATCGGATGGATTTGTTTCAAACAAATGTGTTAAATTTCAGCGTATTTTTTTACTCAGCGTTACAGCAAAATCCTATATTCAGTAAGAATGTTTTTTGGTATCACTTCGATGCATTTGATGGTTTCATTGTTTACTACTTCATAATCTTGGATGAAACAATTCAGCACTATAATGGTTGCGTATGGATCTGAAATGCTTTGGAATATATTGCAAAGTTTTACCTGCTATCACTATCGTTAAAGCGCAAAATATTTACCTATGCATTCACTCGTTTATAATAACAAACCTTGTGTTCTACTTTTTTTGTTGTTGGCTAAAATTAGTGGAAATTTTTAATTTAAATATATATCATTCGTCAAAATACATAAAAACTAATATGAATTTTTATTTGAAAATTTTAGTTGGTTAGAAATATTGAGAATTATCTATTATCTTCTGCTGCAAGCCTTCAACGCTAATTGAATCGTTATGACAACTTTTTTGTGTGCAAATTTCACTTGAAATATTATAAATATTATACATTTATTCATTGAAGAACAATCTCAACATAAACTTCCTCATTCAACCATTTATATTTAACTCTCAATATGATTCGTGTATCAGAGCCTGGTAGCCTACTGTACAAACAGTATATCTCCTTTAAAAAAAGGATGTCTTTTATATTACAGTTACTGCTCAAAAGTCATGAAAGAAAACCTGCATTTCAATAAAAAACTGAATTAAGGGGCTCCTTTCTTATTTTATGGGGATTGATTCGAAACGTGTGGTAACAGGTTATATGGTATGTAATGTACAATGTAACTATATAACTGTTCGTTGTGATTGCTAATAAACTACTTTGGCTAAATAAAATATAAATTTGATAATTTAATTTGTCCTAGGATTGATTTTATACATAATTTGTAACAGACGTTTATGAACATTCAAGTTTAAATGTACTGAGAATTAGTTTCTATCTCCCATCATATAATTTTTCGATAATAAATATTTATATCTTGTGGAAAGATTATACTTAATAATATTCATAATAGAAATAGCTGTGTCCATAATAATGCACAGCTATTATTTGCAACCTTCAGTGTAGTCTGTGTAGACTGCTCAAGCCAGGAAACGACCACGTACGAAACGAAATTCATCAATTGGGAAAGGAACATCAGGATCAATTCCAGCTCAGCCAGCTGGTCGCGATAATGCAACTATTGATTAATTGATGAGTGATGACACACGCTTTGTTTTGAAAATTTCGGTGTGTGTTTATGTTTGAAAGTGTCACGGAATAATTCACTGTGAACATTTCTCTAAGGAATAGTTTCATTTTTTCCTTTGTCAATTCGCAGTTTTGCAATTTGCTTCTTAGAAATATTCAAATAAGTCATGCGAGACGGAACAATTGCCACTGTTTAATGGCAATTAGTTGATAATTTATCACGCGTAAAAACAGTTAACACGATAATTGGCATCCATATTACTATCATGGCTGTTCTGCTCCTAAAGAGTTTCTAAATTAACGGTCATTATTGCGGAATTTAGTACATTACACAACGTATCACCGAATTTCACTGAACATCCATGTATTCGTTCTCTCATCTTCGAGCGTTTATCTTGGTTTTTACCAAGTTTGTGACTCACCTATTCTTCCAAAAACCAAATTGAATCACGTTCAGTACTTCTTGCGAAGTAATCAGAATCATTTTAGAAATTCTTGTGAAGGTCCAACAGCATCCAGGGCTTAGCATTCTGAGCTCTCATCTTTTTTGCACTCTTTTCCGCGGTGCCGCGGGTTGTATGACTCACCGGCGACCGGTTTTTGCCCGGAATATGCTGACATGTACGCCGTTTTGTGCAAAATTTCGCACTGATTCACCGACACAAGCTTCATGCGCTAATCGGCTCTTCAGATATAAATAGCCAGGAAACATAAACAGTTGTTGTTAATAGCCGTACATTTTGAATATGAAAACAATCTAGAATAACTTTAAAAAAACGTATTCTGACTACAAAAATAGTAAAAACCAGAATTTACTACTTCAGACCTGGAGCTAAGCTGTCAGTAAAACTGATGAACTCGCTATTTCTGCCGCCGAGAACTTCTCCGCAAATCACCACGCGCTCTGCCATCCTGATAGTTTTTCGTCAGTGGCTATCTGCTTTTCGGAAGTATCGTGTCTCTTAGCATTTTTTTTTTTTTGCTACCAATCCTCAATTTTGTAATGATTGAGTGTATGTCTGTAGTGGGGCTATGATATGCAGTATCCGCTTGCTCTTTTTTCTGGCAAGTTGCTATCGCACCGTGCGTGCGAACTATCACACGGCTCTCCGTATTCATTTTACTTGTTTCGCCTCTTTGTCTTTAGTCTGCATGTATTGGGTACCGCTGTTTGTTGCCATTTTTCAGCACGTCGGCTAGTGCTCGACTTTAAAACTTGGGAAAATATATTTTTATCAAACGTTTTGGCCGCACGGTCCTTACCATGACTTGGGCTAGTAACGACTAAGTTATTTTTGCAGAGGCCCCTTGAGTTTGTTTTTTGAATACGAACAAAATAATACATATATACTGCAAAAGGTTTGTCATACTGGCGTAAAAAATAATCCATAAAATTGTTAGAAGTTTCGGCCGTGCCACGAAAAGCGCACGCATGGCAGTGATTGCGTCATGCCGTGGCTGCTGATCCTCTCTCTTCTCCTGCGCCGCTGACCTTAACCGACCGAACTTGCCTGTCTTATTTGGTGTGTGTCCTGAGGCTGCTTGGCGATATCTGTCAGTGTGTGTGCTATTACGATGTGGTTCATCGCTGTGCAGATTTGATTCGCATCATCGCTGTGCATCGCGAGCGAAAAAGCTTGCAAGATATTCAGGAAAATATGCTTATTAGAAACTTTCAATAATTTATACTTATTTGCAAATGGAATCGAGAACAAAAACGCTTGAAATAAGCAATCTTTCGTTAATATTCGATTGTCACATCAAGCCCTCAAAATTTAAGTTCACTATTCAAATAATTTCGTATATCATCGCAATTGAACGCAAGATACTGAAACCCCTTTCATTAGCAATTATGTATTGAGTTGAATGTTGAATGATGTTAAAGTCCAAATTGCAAATAAGTACCTTGTTTTGAAGCTGCATTATAAAAAACACGAATTCTGATCATCACTTGTCTCATGAAAGTCAATATCTGGATGATCTGCGAATTGAATTTTTTTGTTGAAGCCTTGAATAAAAATGTGATAATGGATGCAAGTTGACGTGAATATTCGAGTATTTGGTTTAGAGTGGTCGAGGGGCCGTCGTTGAGCTCGCCAGTCGCCACGCACAAAGTTTATTGAAATCAATTACTGAACCTGTAACTTTGCCGAACAAAAACCTGATTTGCGTGTAAACTCAGTTTCGCAAACATGATACATGTATTGCAATTGATTTAATTGATCACAGAGTGCGTAGTTTTCTATCTTTCATGTTGAGTGACGACTTACTGTCACACTTTCATACTTCTGATAGAATTGATGACCTATTACATTATAATTTTTAATAAAAAATTATATAAAGTACAGGTTTCCTTACCCATTACGATTATTTTTCGTTGTACTCATCCGACGTTCGCAAATTGCTTTTGTTCCCTACAAATTCTAACGAACTTATTCTCTCCAACAGCCGTTAAGGACGATGAGTGCCACAGAAGTGGAAATCGGAGTATGGGTGGACGGCAGCCAGAAATGGGTGAGTGGAGTCACCCGCCGCACCACTTGCTACGACCTCATCCGTGCCCTGCTACGCGCCCAGAACCTGCGAGCTACTGACGAGGATGTCATCAAGTACATAATCGTCGAGAGGTGGAAGAAAGTCGAGCGACCTCTGGACCACGAACAGCGCATACTTAAGGTCGGTTATTGGTAGTGCCACGTCAAGTCAAGAGAACTAGTTGAAATTCAATAGTAGGTACTAGAACCTAAATATAACTGGTACGTCCGGAGTTAACTGATACGTAAGGGAACTTCTTGTCCTTGAAATTTATATTTTAGCAAACTTGGACGTCAAGAAACTCGTACGTTAGGAACTTGAACGCCGTGGAAACAATTGTGCGCCAAAGGAAACTTGAACGTCCAGAGATCTATTTCATCAAGTTTCGCCAAGGCCAAGGGAAAATGTCACTTGTTATTCCCTTTTCTACTTACAAAAGAAATTAAGAGTCGAATGCAGATACTTTATCCTAGCTTTGTTGTATAGACTCAAGTCTGACATCCGTAGTGTACACAAGAGCTGAAGCCACCAAGCTATGTCCATTCTAACTCCCCGATAGAGATGAATACTTATTGAAGGCCGGAAATCTTTTTAGCTAATTGGGATTGGTTCTTTTAATTTTAGAAAACACTAACACAGATTTATTTGTAGCATTTACTCGCCTAAGAAAATTAGCGAATAGTGCATCGTTCAAATGATGAACGATTGAAATAATTTCTTTCATTGCTTAACCAACCAAACTGCCTTTTATAAACATTGGCCTTTATTGTTTTTCAACTCCTTGCAGCGTTGCAAATGCTACTATGAGCATTATTTGATGTGGTTGTGCGTAGGCAAATGTAATGTTTGTTTGTGTCTGAACCGACTGTAGCTACATTTGAAAGCTCGATTGTACGTAGAGTCAGCCTTACTCATGCGGACAAAATATCTAGGAATTATCTAGATAATATTTAAAGCGCTTAATCATCGATCAATCTGGCTCAAAGTAAGCACTGTGAGCACGTTGATCCGCGACGTAGCAATGTGAAAAATTTTTGTACATTCTAGTAGGAACGAACCTCATCGATGCATGACATCGGAATATCGTTCTATCCCTGCCCTTCTTGGTAGAATATTCCCATCTATCAATCTGATTAAAATTTTGAACATTTATTTTTGATTAGACCACAAAGTTGTGCATCACTTTTACATGCGTGTTTGTACAAAAAACGCATTCTCTAGATACCTTTGAAGTCGGTGCTCTTTACTTGACGTTTTTCTTCTCATTAATTGCTCAGGTTACTGCAGTTCTTGCGTGCTTGCTATTCGAATTTGCAGCTACAATACTCTTTTTTCGTTTTGTGTTTGCATATAGTGCATAACTATGCGCTAATTCTTACGTTGCACAAAAATCAAATCAACACATCACGTTTTTCATCGTAGATGGATTAAATGAACAATATTAAGTTTTATCGTTGCGTGATCCAAGTAGTTTTTCAAAATTTTGAGTTTTTTGGTTTTAATTGTGCAGGTGTGGAAGTCTTGGGGTGAGACTGTGCACCAGGTTCGGTTCAGTCTACGTCGAGGCCGAGGAGATTCACCCGAAACTGACGACAATCCAAAAAAGAAAAATAAACACATCGACCAAGATTGGGACAAGAACAAAGAGAATGATGCTAATTTAGATGGAAGCCTGGACGGAGCCGAATCTAGTTGCGGCAGAAGCGAACGCAGTCGCCGACGCCACAAAATGCGACAATCGCGACGCGAAGCCACGGCGTGTCTACAGCGGGTGCCTCCTTTACCGCGACATCGAAGTCCCGCCCACACGACGGAGCCCGAAGACTCTCCCCAGCCGTTGTCTGATGACGAAAGTGACAGCCGGGACTGCGGGACGAGCAAGCATGCAAAACCAGAATCTAGGAGACCGGCCAAGGATGATCCCCGATACAAGTGAGTACCCACGATTATTTTTTGTCTCCTTTCTATCATTCTTGCTTCATGTGAACAATTTTTTTCTAGCATTTTCGTGTTTAATCATTCCAAAAAAGTGATTTTGGGAAGTACGGTACTTAACGTCTCATATTGATATTGACATTGAACCTTTTCTCTCTAATTCACCTTAAGGAATGTAATCTTATTCTAACTCATCATTGCCCATATTGAATGAGATGCCCCATACGCAGGATACATATCTAGTTCATGGATACTTATGGCCGTAGTCCTATTCTGAATACTAGTATAATTAGGTTGCTATTATTTTCTTTGAGTAATGTGGATTTCGATGTTAACTGCGGATCGAAGGAATGACTCGATCAAAATTACAAAAAACATCGAGTACTTCATCTAATGACTCAAAATTAGAGATAATAATTTTTTCGTTCACTTAATTCGGAGACTGCTCCTGAAGTTGCCTCTTTCACCGCCGCGCGTTCGCGTCTCAAATAAACGCAGCGGAAGTTTTTTCCCACAAACTTTTTGTTCTGTCAAGAAAATTCCCACGAGGTTGTGAACATGACCCGAGGGCGCCACTCTCTTGTCGCCCTGGGCTCTTAACCATTCGTGGCGGGATCACATTTGAGTTCAGTTATCGTACTTTCTTGTTGCCATTAGGTCTCAGCAATTCTTGTAATCGGGAAGTGCTTCCTAAACATGGAAACATAGATTCTACTAATTGGATCAAAAATTCAAAAAGTAATTGACTTACGGGTTAGCGATGTAATCATTTTGAGTATCTGACTTCTTAATTTATCAAATGTTCTCATGCTCATTAGGAGTGCTGCAACGATCGTAATCTACCTATCATTAGAAAGATGATGTGTTCTTGACAATATTATTATATTATTATCTTTATCACCGAATTAACAGCCCAATATTTATATAAATGTTTGATCGTCCTTTTACATCTTTGGAAAGTCCAAATTGATACACTTTAAATTCAAACCACGAGGGGCTGAAGTTTAAAATTTCACTTCACGGTTTCAGGCAGATATCGTCATGGGTCATGCATCCAGTTCTTATTTCATTGCAAGCATCAAGAATCCCTCAATAACTCGTTCTAATGGGAGCCTTTGAGCTGTGGTTTTTGTGGTACGTCTATAAACTTAATAGCGTCTTAAAGTTAAACCTCATTTTGCCATCATCCTTCGAGCGATTGGATTAATGGTCAAGCTGCCTCATTATTCTTAAGTGGTCCAATTAACTATGTTTTTTCGATCCTCAATTTCCTTCGTTGGCACTGTGACGTTTTTACTTGGGATCGTGTCCGTAGTTGCAGAATCAAACTTTCGTTTATGCTGCAAACCTTGGGCTCTGGTGCGCAAAAACCATTTTGAATCGACGTTCATATATATTCTATAAATCTTTTCTGATACGTGATTTTAAATAATATCGAAATGCATCATCTAGCCGTTGAGAAGTCACCGGAGAATATTTTTTTAATTATTTTTCTTTCTAGTACTATATTATACAAAGTTTCTGTTTTTTTCTTCTAGTGCTACGACGGTCTATTACCTTACTAGAAGTTATACTCAAAAAGTATTGAATCATAAATCCGTCAGCAAATTGTGATTAAAGATGTGTGCAAAAATTTCAGCCGCAGCCTCAAAGTATGAACTTACGATCCTCGAGCAACTTGCGGTCAGCGTGCATGAGGATTTGTGAGAAGCATGCCCAGGCTTGCACCTTCTCTGACCTGGTCGACCTTGGCGAGGTCGCCTCCTGCTGCGTGTTCACATTATTAAAATCAGTACAAAATATCCCGTCAAGCCAAGACTAAATAAATCTATGTTTGTCTATGGCGTGCGGTAATTAAGATTCGAACCTGAAAATATTTCAATATGTCGCAATTGCGACATTGTAAACAGTTTTGAGAATTTCGCGTCTGTATACCTGTATCCACCTGAGTCCATACGTAGTGTAACTCTGCTATGTCCAATCCTCTGATGCAGTACTGGAATCTGTCTCCTTTAGAAAAACTAATTTTGTGGCTGTTAACCGTTGGCATTTTTGTCCCGAAAAATTTTTTTTATTCTGCGAGGCAATCCCAATTAATGGGGAAAATTTGTTAGCTTAATTCAAACAATTATTGTAGCGTGAGTGTAACATGAACCGTTCATGTTAAACTCATGAGATATATCGGAACTTGGACATATCTGTTTGATATGCTGTCATTTCTTACAGGGAAACTTACGAGCATTCTTCGCTAGGCAATAAAATTTTGAATCTGTACTTAAAATTCGGGATTTCGGTGTTGAATTATTCACATTTATCTATGCACGCTTTCTTTTAAAAGGTCATGTAATGACATCATAAACTGTGGCATCACTAATTAGTAAACAGGGTATTGGTTATGTGTTTGTGCAGGGTATTGGTTATGTGTTTGTGAGTGCGGGCCTTTGGACTCCTCATGGCTACATGGCTTTGGTGCTCTGGCGAAAAGGCCGTCTAGCCGTAAAGCATGTAAAGTTCTTCAGGTCATGGTCATGTGATGTCGCTGAAACTCTCGTATGCTACTACGCCTTGCCGAACCCTTGCTTGTTTATGGCCGGCTCTACGCCCTAAACTCTATTATGGATTGCGCTTTGTTTCCATTCATTGAACATTAAGCAAGTGCGCAATGTTGTCAACTGCTTTGTGTTAAAAGCAAACTCTTTCCATTCATTAAACTCCTCAGCAAACAAAGTTCGCTAGGTCTATAATGAACAATCATGATTTGTTGAACTCTAGAACAAGAATGCAATACCGTTAGATCCAAAAGGGTATCAGCGAGCTGTTTGCGATTGGTGAACTATTAAGCAATTTCAAGAGATCGTTAAATCTAATACGGGTATCAGGTTACTTCAAAGAGAGATAAAGCTTTTCGATTACGGTCGTTCATTAAGTTGATGCAATCCTGTGTCTGAAGTATGTGTAAGCGATGAAGCTGTGTTATTCTATCTTGATCTTCACTGCTTCGTCTTTACTTGCGAAAGCGGCTTCGTGCGAGAATAATTGGAAATTTTATCTCTGTTAGGGCTTTGAGATTTTATTATTCCTTGCCTGTACGCTTGCGTTGTAGTAGATTTATTTCAATGATAAATACAGTGGAACGACTGTGAGAGAAATACTTTTTATGAAGTGATGTTTTTGTTTGAGTACAACTCATTTCTACTGAAATTTTCGAAACATGTTATGCTTTCATCAGTTTCTTTCTAGCTGTAAGAAGCAGTGACATCTGGTTTAAACCAACAATTTACAATCTTTAGCAAGAAGATTAGAAAACTGAAGCACCGTCAAAATTTAAGTGAAAAATTTTTCAGTAAACAATCTACATGCTGAATTCCTGAAATAATATTATAGAAGTAAAATCTACATTTTCAAGGTTATTCCTGTCGACTCACAAGATTTACATATTTAAAAAATCTAGATTGAGTCCCTTTATGTACCGTTATTTATTCAAGAAGTGCAATCATCGAATTCTAAATAGTCATCGTTTCAAATGAATTTAAATGAATGTGCTTCAAAAAACCCGCGAAAAACATTCATACTTTTTATCTAATCATTGAAACTTTTTATTTTTATCTAGTCGATATTCAGATTATCCCAATCAATATTTTCAGATTCTCCTTATCAATATCCCAATAATCAATATTCATACACAACGGAAGATTTTCTTGCAATAATATCAGCGCGTTAATTTTGTACTTCTATTTATTTATTGTAACTTGAGTAGAATGCCTGCACAAAATCATTACAATCATCTGATTGGTTTCCAATCAATCCCAGAGACCGTAAATTAACAACGAGTCGAGTGACCATTACCGCGACTTGATGTTTGGAGAGAGTCGATCTCTTGCGCCACAATCTTACTTGTCGAAAAACATATAAATACAGACTACGTACCATTGACGATTTAGTTTAGTGTCTGCCAATTCGCCTATAACGGATTTTTTGTTAACGTTATGTTTCATCGAGAGCTATGTGGTCTGTGGGTCTTCTAAGCTTTCGCTCGTGACAATTTATTTAACCTTTTACGAGAAAAAGGTAGCGATTTTTTATTATATGATGCAGTTTCTACCTGAATTCATTGATCAGAATATGAAACCATTTTATCTGAGTTGTGATTTTTAAAGCATTGTTATACACGTGATAAGTACTGAATTTTGAAGTTCTGTGCTTTTCTTATGAAAGTTCTGGGCGTCTACGGTGCTTAAAAACCATCTGCGTTCAGCACACTAATTGTTTGAAACTCGTCTGGATTACACGCATTCACTTAACTTCATGGTTACAACAAATATATACAAGTTTTATAATTGTCTTTCAGTGTGATAGTTGCCCGCTTTCGTCCTTATCGAGGTAATTAGACAGTCGGCAATGAAACTTTTAGTGGCGGTAAAGTTGATATGACCACTTCGCTGTCTACGTATACTCAGTGACTGATTTACGGTGTTTCAACTTTGAAAGGTGACTCACAAAAACAGTGTTCACTTCAGTACAGTTGTAATGAGTTGGACCGTTTCTGTTAATTACACGTTACTGCTGGCTACTTAGCTCCGATACAAAACTTGCACTGTTTTCTTGCGTAAGTTGCATTCAACACATCTGTATAAAAGTAAATGGCTGTACAAACCTTTTTACTGTTCGGGAACCGTGTATAATTTTGTGCACCAGTTAGCTATTGCATTGAAATTTCGTTTTTTTTTCCAATTCATGATCTTTTTGATGGTCGAATGCAAGTCCCTGATCACGATTTTGCGGTCGTCAAGCAGTTTATATAATTCTAGGTTTGTTTGTACTCGCCCTTACTCTCAAGGAAAAACAGTCATATGTTTAAAAAAATTTTCTTGTAAAGTTATATTCCGGGGAGTGCTTAGATAGCAATAACCATTTCACTTGCTTCTGCATTATATAAATGTGTACTTTCAAGTAGATGCCTGATTGTAAACTTTTATATTATTGAAAGGGAGGCACGC